ACCTCTCCATACGAGCCCTGACCCAACTTCTGGGTAAACTCTAAGCCCATGGCCTGTAATTTGGGCATATCTTCGTGCCATTTGCGGCTCAAGTCTAGTGGCGGCCACTCATCCGGATAGTAGTCCTCGTACTGCAGGGGTCCGTGCAGTTCACCCACTTTGGTCTGGTCGCGGCCGTAAGGGGCCGGTCGGGGCACCTCTTTGCCTGACACGGCGGCCGCCGAGTATAGACTTGAAAAGCTCATGTAATTTGGGTCGAGAGCCGGTTCTGCGAATTGATGGACATTCTCCGGATTGTCGACATCCATGTCCTCCATCTCCGGTTCGGGCGCTTCGGGCGTACGAATGACTGTGCGGTGTATCTGATGTGTGGCCTCTATAACCACTTGGTTGGGAATATCCTCATTGATTAGACCCGTATTCGCGAATCCGGCGATAATAGAGGAGTCGTCGTCGCTGTCGGAGTCGTACTCAGACTCAGAGGGATCCAAATAATCCATTGCAGACATTGCAGACAATTCTTGGATTTGAGCTCTGGTTTACTTGTTTTTGTGAGACAACAACTATTTCTATGTATTTTATTAAAGATAAGTTTTTTTAAAAATTTTGTAAAAGTTTTAAAAACATGTTTATTGTTTAAATTAAATTTTTGTGAAAGTGGACCATGTAAAATCTTGTCATTAATAAATTAGATTTAGTATATTAAATTGCATATAAATTAATTATATTTAAATTAATATGTATATTAACAATTAAAACTTTATAATTTAGTATAAACTGCATACAGTATTGTAATATTTTTAGGGTATATCTGGTAAAATCGATATCCTATTAATAAGTTTCTTATTTACAATTAAATTATTTTCATTTACTGCATATTTTATCAATAAATATCTTATAATGGAAATAATAAACAGTATTTAATATTTACAGAAATTTAGATATCATCACAAGCTTATCATAGAATTTAAGTAACTTATACAGGTAGTACAGTTACTTAACGTGCATTACATAACATGCAGTTTATATTTATGTGTTACATACAGTTGTAGATTAAATAAGTACTTAATTAATCTAAACATTTTGCCCATGCGACTTGTATAAAAGCAATAGTTTGTGGTCTATAAGCCAAAAAATCATTTTAATTGATTTAACATTTACTTCATAAAAATACTATTATAAAAATGGTCCGTAAGTTAACCGTGTTGTTTGCGCCCATCAACTATGTCGGGCCTATCAATACAAGCATAGGGTTGGGAGAAGTGCTCAGAGATAGCGGCCATCGGGTGGTCTTTGCGACCACAAAAGATTGGTCGCAGAGATTGAAAAGTCTTGACTTTGGGGTCGAGTTAATGACCGAAAAGACCGATAAAGTGACCGGCGATTCGGCCGACAATAACGTAGACGAGGCCAGTGACTTATTGGATAACAAAAGTCCATTAGACAAAGCGTTGAGATGTATGTCTCTTATACTGAAAGACTATCACATGTCCGCCGAGAAAGACGAGCCGTCACTCAAGAGGATTATAAACGATGTCAAACCCGATGTCATTATCTCTGATCACGTGTTAACTCTGCCATCAATAGCCGGTTCGGGTATTCCCTGGATATTCAGTCACAGCAGTAATCCATTGTCATTGGACTTTGGTTACGAAGATAAGCGGTTACCGCCGTCTATATTAGGTATGATTTTTAAACTATAGTTTCTTATATAATAAAAAAATTAATTGTTTTGACTTTTATATAATAGGTTTGTCTGTAAATAGTGACAAAAACTTATGGGAAGAATACAGACAACAGTTAAAGAATGAGAGAAAAAATGATTGGTTTAAATACAAGGATTGGCTCATCAGTAATGGCTGTCCAGTAATACCAGAAGAGCTACAATTTTGGGCGCCGTCTCCTTTTGCAAACATATATATGTTTCCCAAAGAACTCGATTACACGGATGTCAGGCCTTTGCCGAAGACTTTCCATCGCTTTGATTATTTTAAGCGAACCGGAAATGAAGACACGTTTGAATTGCCGGACAAACTCAAGAATAGATCCGGAAAATTGATTTATCTATCGTTGGGTTCAATGGGTTCGGCAAATGTAGTGGTTATGAAGAGATTGATTGCAATTTTG